ATATATATATATATATATATATATATATATATATATATATATATCCCTCACATTTTTACAATGCTAAATATACTGATTTTTACTAAATACTCAATTTCAGACTTACTTTTTGGATTCACATTAGACCAGTCTACCTTTTTGTAACTGACTTTAAACAGTTGTGACCAGTCTTAAAGAAAATACATTAGCTGACTAACTATTTAAGACTAGTCTAAGCAGTTTATGCAACCCATCCCAGGACCGAGTTTGGACACCTCTGCTCTAGGTAATCACAGCGTGCTGATATACAGCCATATCGCACAGCTATAAGAGTGTGATATTGCGTATACAGGTGCATCTCAATAAATTAGAATGTCGTGGAAAAGTTCAGTAATTTCAGTAATTCAACTCAAATTGTGAAACTCGTAAGTTGCTTGAAGTCCAGTGTTAAGTTTCCACAGTCTGTGATGATTTGTGGTGCAATGTCATCTGCTGGTGTTGGTCCATTGTGTTTTTTAAAACCAACGCCACGGCACCCGTTTACCAAGAGAATTCAAAGCACTTCATGCTTCCTTCTGCTGACCAGCTTTTTGAAGATGCTGATTTCATTTTCCAGCAGGATTTGGCACCTGCCCACACTGCCAAAAGCACCAAAAGTTGGTTAAATGACCATGGTGTTGGTGTGCTTGACTGGCCAGCAAACTCACCAGACCTGAAGCCCATAGAGAATCTATGGGGTATTGACAAGATGCAAATGAGAAACAAGAGACCAAAAAATGCAGATGAGCTGAAGGCCACTGTCAAAGAAACCTGGGCTTCCATACCACCTCAGCAGTGTCACAAACTGATCTCCTCCATGTCACGCCACATTGAGGCAGTAATTAAAGCAAAAGGAGCCCCTACCAAGTATTGAGTACATGTACAATAAATGAACATACTTTCCAGAAGGCCAACAATTCACTAAAAATTTTTTTTTATTGGTCTTATGAAGTATTCTAATTTGTTGAGATAGTGAATTGGTGGGTTTTTGTTAAATGTGAGCCAAAATCATCACAATTAAAATAACCAAATTCTTAAACTAATTCAGTCTGTGTGCACTGAATTTATTTAATACACGAGTTTCACAATTTGAGTTGAATTACTGAAATAAATGAACTTTTCCATGACATTCTAATTTATTGATATGCACCTGTATACAACAGTTTGATGGCACAAGTGTAAATAAAAAAGAGACAACAACAGAGTGTCTTTAACAACCCTCTTTTGTATGGAACTATTTCCTTCTGCCATGGATTAAAATCTTAGTCTGAAAGTTTAACAGATGAGTCCAAGCCTCCGTTACTAATTCGAAAACTTCACTTTAGATCTAGTAACGAAAGAATGTTGAGTTACTTCATTAAACGCTTATTGTATTACTGTATTAAACGTTTACTGTATTATGTAGAGTACAGTTTTATAAGAGAGAGATGGACTGAGCGAGTGTGATTACCTGCATCTGATACAGCATTCACTCTTCAGCTCAATCTCATATTCACAATAAAACTTTAGTTTAAATGTCCGCTGATGAAAGCAATACCTTTGTCTTACTGTCCTTTCATCTGTTAAAGGTGACTTCTGATGACAGCGCTCCTCACTGCATTTGTTGGCTGCATCTTACAAGATGTTGTTGAAAGTAAAAATAACTTCCTTGTTTACAACCCTCCCTGCACTCTATTCAGAAGGGCTCATCCCTATGCCCTAATCCCTTCAAAACTATTTGTTTTGGAACACACTTCTGCGTCTTAATGTGACGATTAAGGAGGTGCCTTCATCGCACATTTTGCTCACTGGTTGACCCCCAATTGTCTTTTACGTTAAATATTATCTATATTTCTCTATGTAATGTAATATGTATTTGTAATTGATATTGTGTCTATGTATTTGAAATATTTGAATGGACTGATAAAGGTAGCTGTAAAGTATTTTTGTTGAAGTACAATGTCGTTTTGACCATAATAATGTACCAATTCTAACTCGTATAAATATTACAGTAGTATAGAAAAATACTATGCATACATTTATCCGTGAAGTAAATGTCTGTGATGCCAAACAACTTCTCTGTGCAAAGGATCATGGGTGCCTGAAGTGTCCATCAGTTGTAGCCTTCAAAGTCCTTCATTCCGAAGGGCCCTTTGAAGTGGCCAGTTTTGAGCACTTTGGTTTGGAACAACCCTTCAATATGGCGGCCATGATTGTTTTCACTCCAAAGTGCCCTTCGGAGGGCGATATATCCCATTTGGAATGCACCGCCTGTTTCAGTCTCTTTCAATATAAAAGTTTTTTTTTTTCATTTTAAAAATAAAATAAATAAAATTTTTACTTTTATCCAATAGAATCCCATTATGATTCCGTAAGCATTCCTCCATCATGATCTTGGCTAGGGTAAGTGATTGATTTCCAAACACTTGTACTGACTGACTCTCATAGAGTTATTGCAGTAACTCACGGTAAATCTCCAGCACCACCGTGGCCTCCTGGCTTTGTCCTTTGGCGTCCACAGCCTGACATCGGTATATCCCAGCATCCTCAATGATGGCATTGTAGATCGTCAGCCTGGACCGCACACCCTCCGTATGCACAATCACTCTCTGGTTTGAGATGATGCGCTCACCTTGAGGACTGAACCAGTTTATGCTCAACGGTTCACCTATGGCTGAAAAAACATAACATATAGGCGTTTATTAATGCAGTTAGAAGTACAGTAAAACCTCACATGCACACTTCCATAAAGCCTGTTTCTGAATGAAAACTCTGCAAACCTCAGATGCATCTGAACGAATGTCTCACTTCCATACTGATCTGGCTTTACGCTCACTGTAATTTGTGACAGCTCTTTAGCTCTGGCAGCCAGTGGCTTTAATAAGGCCACATGGAGAATTAGCAAGTGCCATATGCAAACTCCAGCTGCTCTGGTCTGTAAAGCTGCTCGGCTCAAGGTCACAAAGCAGCCACGTGGGAGTCTGTATTTCTGGCCCTCTGCAAAGGGCCTGAACTCTCCAGCCTCCCTGCGAAAGCACTGGAGTCCCAGGACGTGATCCAGCATTCTTAAAAAAACTTTTTTTTGTAGGCGAAACAGACCAAAAACAGACATCATTGTGTCTAAAATGTAACTCACTTAATACTAACATCTTGTTTGTTGCACTGTTGTATAAAATCAATTCATTGGTGATCACACTGATATCCAGGAAAACAACACTCTTGCTTATGTGATATTACTTAACTATCATGAGATATAAAAAACAAGAACTCTTACAGGGCATTTTTTTGCCTCCATATTTTAAATTATACAGTATTATAACTTCATGAATAGACTTCATCCTGCATTAAAAGACTCTCAAAACTTATTTTAGTTTTTTGCAAAGTGAGTTACATAATGTCAGCTCGCACATCGTCAAAACAATTCTTCATTTATATATTGCAATTTTTCCACATAACTGTGAGTATAAGGAAGTACAAATTGTTAGTTGTAAATAACATGTCTGAATTGTGAGATAAAACAAAAGTTGCAATTACCCTTTTTTTGGCATTTTTGCAGTGGAAACTTTCTAAGTATGTTAAAAGTTCTTCATAGAACCATTGATGCTAATAGAGAACCTTTATTTTTAAGAGTGCAGGACGTCAAGTCACATTTCACATATATTTCAGTTGTACATTCAAAAGCAACATGTTGCACAAAGTGATGCACAATGAGATTAGCCAAAACAGAAAACTGTCCATATCTGAAAACTGTATTTCCAACCTCAGATAACCCCAAACTACTCAGCAGTGGAGTGAGTGAAATAGCACTAATGGTAATGCTGAAGTTCATTGTGTCCTTATGAGCTGATTTATTGTGTGTATGTGGCAGACGGCCGTCAAATGCCCCCTCATCCTTCAGCGCTGCTCTCTCTGATCAATCTCTTCCTGGTTGCTCTTGTGCTTTATATTGACAGAGCTCCGGCAAGGTGCTTCCTGGTCGGATGCACGATGAAATTCATGGTCTCTCTCTTTATTTATTCCTTCTCTTTCTAGCTTGTACTTATTTGAACAATGTCTAAGAACTTGGTATTACAACCACTTCTTGTGTCTGTTTGCCTCTTTAAGAAGAATCGCTTTATGTATCCCCCAATTGTAAGTCGCTTTGGATAAAAGCGTCTGCTAAATGACTGAATGTAAATGTACTCGGCTTCCATTGTCTAGTTTTCTTGCCACTCCTTTGTTGTCATGGTGATTCATGTTATCAGCACAGGTGTTTGTCATTTTACCCTTATTTGTCTGGTATTTAATTTGCAGTCTTTTCAATTCTCATTTGTCTTGTCACGTTTGCGTTTATGTATGTTACTACCACCCCTGGCAAAAATTATGGAATCACCACACTAAGATGATGTTCACACAATTTTTCTTTTTTTACTTCACAACAAATAAACGAATGTCAGATATGACAAAACATTTTTTGTTTAATAATCCAACACTCTGGTTATGTGAATATACCTCAAACAAATTAAATTAATTATTGCAAAACTGTTTTCCATATCAACTAGAGGAAACAATTATGGAACCATTCAATGTTGAGGGGGAAAAAAATTGAATAATCAACCAAAAAACACAATTAGTACTTTGTTGCTCCTCCTCTAGCTTTTATGATGGCCTGAATTCATTGCGGCATGCACTTCACTAATGCAAACAATATTCTTCATCAAGCTGGTTCCAACTTTCTCAGATAGTGGTTGACAGGTCAGCTTTGCAAGATGGGCTTTTTTCAATTTCCACCATACATTTTCAATTGGATTGAGATCCGGACTGTGTGCTGGCCATGTCATTGAGTTGATATGCCTTTCCTAAAGAAAAGCTTTAACACTATTTGCTCTGTGGCAAGATGCATTATCATCCTGAAAAAAATAATCTTGATATCGTTATCACCAAACTTCTTTTATATCGATGGAATGAGAAAAGTGTCCAAAACTTCAGTGTACACCTGTGCATTGACTGTTGAGGTTGGATTACCATTTTCCCTGGTCCTTGATCCGACATGCAACCCCATATCATAAATGAGTTGGGAAATTTCATTGTTTTCTACAGGCAGTCATCTTTATTCATTTCATTAGAACGGCACCAGACAAAAGTTCCAGCATCATCTCCTTGTCCAAGGCAGATTCATGTTTCATCACTGAATATCACTTTCATCCTATCATGCACACTCCATGACTGCTTCTCTTTAGCCAACTGTAAACTTTTTTGTTTCTTCTTCTGTTTAAGTGTCAGTGCTGGTTTGGTTTCTTATATGTAAATCCCATTTCATTCAGCCGGTTCCTTACAGTTCTGTCACACACATTGACTCCTGTTTCTGCACATTTGTTTTATCATTGTTTTGTTGTGCATTTTCTATTTTCAATGCAAATTGCTTTGAGTTTTCTATCCTGATGCTTTGATGTCTTCCTTGGTCTGCCTGTATGTTTCCTTTTATAACCTTTCCATTTTGTTTATACTTGAACCAAATTTTAGAAACAGCTGACTGAGAACATCCAACAACGTTTGCCTCACTCCGTGTAGGATTTCAGTCTTGAGTTTTATAATCCTTTCCATCATTTCAACCAACAGCTCTCTTGTTGGGCATGTTTCCTTTCTATTGTAGCGTCTGCTTAGGATCATTGAGGGTCATGGGGGCTTTATGTCTTAGAGACCCTTTCAGCCTTTTGACATTTGCATATAAATTACAGTCCTGGCCCCAGATTCTACAGTTATATGGGTGCTAAATTGCCAATGGTCTTTCCCCCATTATCAAGAAGATGGTAACCAGATCAACTCTCTGGTCTCCCCATCGACTTCAAACACATTCCAATGTCCTAAGAGTCATCACAGTACCTGGCACCAGATGTCTGATGGCCAGCGAACTACCCCCATGCTCGCAATACACATAACACACACATAAAGACATTTTCTTTATTTAGACTATAATTAATCAGTTACAATTGAATCTGGTATATGCATGTGTTGATTGTATGTTTCCCTATTATATTAGCCTAGTTACAACTCTTTATTTGTATTAGTTAGACTCTCAATGCTTATATTCAGGTATATGAGTGTATCTCTGCTTTAAGATTTTCTAGATGTTTCGTTCTTGGTATCAAAATGATCTGCTCTGTATTCCTCAAACAATGATGTACACTATGTGATCGTGAAATGCATCATACTATTTGTACCATATTTTGGGTAAAACCGCACCAATCCTCCAGACCAGCAATAAACATGCTAATGGGCCATAAACCGAGACAAAGAAAGTTTCTCCCGCTCAAAATTCATGCCTCCGATTGGCCATCCCACCCAAAAGGTGGGTGTGGATAGGAACTTTCAAAAGTCTTCAGCTCAGACTAATCTTGGCTCAAAAACCTCTTCTTCTTGAGACGGACACTATCCAAGACTCCTCAAAACTCTCCTCTTGACTTTGATTTTCCGGCAGTTTTTATCTTCAAGTAACTTTGTCGATCCGCGGTGGACTTTCCTATCTTCAGAGGAACCAGAGCAAAACCTCCAGCTCACTTCTAAAAGAACTCATCAAGAACCTCCGTTGTCTACCGCATCAGGACTCTTGTT